TGTGTCGTCAGACCTGCTTGCGTATTGGTGTTCTGAAATACGTGTTTGGAGGTCCCTTGATGTTTCGCCCACGTATAACTTGTTGCAGTCATTACAAGGGATTATGTATCCCCCTGCAGAGGATGGAGGCTTGTCCTGCCTACTACTGGTGATGTCCTTGATGGTCGTGGTTGTGGAGGTAGATACTTGGAATGATGTTTTGGCAAAGATGTTGGAAACACCTTTGGCAATGGAGTTGGTGGGAAGGACTATGTATCTCTTCTCGGCAGTGTCTTCTCTGGTGTGTTGAAGATGTTTAGTGCTCGCCGTCTGCAGTCTCTGATGAAGTGACGAGGATAGTGGAGTTTGGAAAATACCTGTTCAATTATAGTGCATTCTTCCTCAAGGAACTCGTTGCTGCAGATTCTGAGTGCACGCAGGAAGAAGCCTATAATTACACCACGTTTGGTTTTGGTGTCGTGGTGAGAGTGGGAAGTGGAGAAGATCGTTTTGGTTGGTGGGTTTTCGATAGACTTTAAAACGAAGTTCGTGGTCAGCTTTGCAGAGTAGAACATCAAGGAAAGGAAGAGTGTTGTCGACCTCTTCTTCAAGTGTGAACTGGATTGAAGGCTCGACCTGGTTGAGCTTGTCTTGGAGAGCTTGAACGTTGAAGCGTTTAGGAGTTATGAGGAGAATGTCGTCAACATAACGGAGCCAGGTGACAGACGAAGGAATAATGGTGGAGAAACGTTTTGGCTTCTAGATGTTCCATGTATAGGTTCGCTAGGACTGCACTGAGTGGCGAACCCATGGGTAGTCCAAAAGTCTGCCCGAAAGAGTTGATTTTCAAAAGAGAAACACGTAAAGCCAACACATAGTTCAACCAGGTCGATGAAGTCGCTGGCTGGAATGGGAAGATCAAGTGAATCGTCAATTTTCTTGCGCAAGAGATCGATGGCTTGTTTAGTAGGTACTTTAGTGAATAGGGAAGTCACGTCAAGGCTGGAAAGTTTCTTGTTCCTGATGTTGATGTTGCGAATGCGATTGAGAAGATCACCTGAGTGTTTGAGATGTGCTGGACTGATAGTGCCCAAGAGTTTCGAGAGGTGTTTGGCGAGAATTCCTGAGAGCTTGTGGGGAGCACTGCCTATTCCCGAGGATATGGGCCTCAGTGGGATACCAGGCTTGTGAGTCTTTGGCAGTCTTTGGCAGAACAAGGGAAGAAACTTCTGCACACCATGCCCAGCAACCCCAGACCTGCCAGAATGTACGGCCTGCCAAAGACTCACAAGCCTGGTATCCCACTGAGGCCCATATCCTCGGGAATAGGCAGTGCTCCCCACAAGCTCTCAGGAATTCTCGCCAAACACCTCTCGAAACTCTTGGGCACTATCAGTCCAGCACATCTCAAACACTCAGGTGATCTTCTCAATCGCATTCGCAACATCAACATCAGGAACAAGAAACTTTCCAGCCTTGACGTGACTTCCCTATTCACTAAAGTACCTACTAAACAAGCCATCGATCTCTTGCGCAAGAAAATTGACGATTCACTTGATCTTCCCATTCCAGCCAGCGACTTCATCGACCTGGTTGAACTATGTGTTGGCTTTACGTGTTTCTCTTTTGAAAATCAACTCTTTCAGCAGACTTTTGGACTACCCATGGGTTCGCCACTCAGTGCAGTCCTAGCGAACCTATACATGGAACATCTAGAAGCCGAACGTTTCTCCACCATTATTCCTTCGTCTGTCACCTGGCTCCGTTATGTTGACGACATTCTCCTCATAACTCCTAAACGCTTCAACGTTCAGCTCTCCAAGACAAGCTCAACCAGGTCGAGCCTTCAATCCAGTTCACACTTGAAGAAGAGGTCGACAACACTCTTCCTTTCCTTGATGTTCTACTCTGCAAAGCTGACCACGAACTTCGTTTTAAAGTCTATCGAAAACCCACCAACCAAAACGATCTTCTCCACTTCTACTCTCACCACGACACCAAAACCAAACGTGGTGTAATTATAGGCTTCTTCCTGCGTGCACTCAGAATCTGCAGCAACGAGTTCCTTGAGGAAGAATGCACTATAATTGAACAGGTATTTTCCAAACTCCACTATCCTCGTCACTTCATCAGAGACTGCAGACGGCGAGCACTAAACATCTTCAACACACCCAGAGAAGACACTGCCGAGAAGAGATACATAGTCCTTCCCACCAACTCCATTGCCAAAGGTGTTTCCAACATCTTTGCCAAAACATCATTCCCAAGTATCTACCTCCACAACCACGACCATCAAGGACATCACCAGTAGTAGGCAGGACAAGCCTCCATCCTCTGCAGGGGTATACATAATCCCTTGTAATGACTGCAACAAGTTATACGTGGGCGAAACATCAAGGGACCTCCAAACACGTATTTCAGAACACCAATACGCAAGCAGGTCTGACGACACAAGGAATGCCTGCGTACAACACCGTAATTCACACAACCACTTGATAAACTACAGAAACTCAAGACTTATCGCCACAGAAGACAACACCCAATACCGAAGAATCCTGGAATCATCACTTATTTCTATATCCGACAACTTCAACCAGAATAGTGGCTTCTATAACATAGCTGAACCACTTGCCAAGAAACTTCTTCATCGCTATCCCACATAAGAACACTGTAGAGGGTCTGCTCACAAACTTGTCCAGTCTCCTTTCCAAGCTACCCAAGTTTTTAGACTCTACAACCCAACTCGGTACATCATCAGATGCAGCATTCTTCACCTGACCTCAGCCGGACTATAAATACTCGCGTTCCTTCCACCCAGGTAGTTCTGTTTGTGACTTGAAAAAGCCCACTGTGTGGGCGAAACGTAGTCAATAAAGGATCACATTATACTGCATTTGTGTTTATATTGCCGGTAGGTCAAATGTTTGTTAGTGGGATGAATTGTAAAGGACCTGCCTAGTATGGGCCAACAGGCCTGCTGCAGTGTTCCTCCTTTCTTATGTTCTTATGTTCTTATGTGAGAGAGAGAGAGAGAGAGAGAGAGAGAGAGAGAGAGAGAGAGAGAGAGAGAGAGAGAGAGAGAGAGAGAGAGAGAGAGAGAGAGAGAGAGAGAGAGTTAGTTTATACACTGATTACATTCATTGAGAGGCAATTGACTCAGTAATTACCCTCAGCCATCCCTGTAATAACGATGGGACCCTCAGTAACATTCAGCACCCTATCTTACTAAGCACATAGAATGAAGAAATAAATGGAATTCGTAAAACTACCTACAGAAACATGTAGAGTGAGACACAGCACACACGTTGAATCACCTAAGTGTACAACCGTGATTAAAACAACACTAAGTATCTGTTCTCACAGTCACTTAGAAAAATGATACTTATAAGCATACTAACCTCAACTAAAATGGAGTTGAACTCCTAAATTCAATAAGGAATCTTTCCTGGGCAGGGAGGCGTCCACACACACACCTCTCACTACTCTCCTCTCTCACTACTCCCAAGCAGTAAACTGAGCTTCTATTATGTAGAGAATTCTAGTCACGTCATAACAAGGCGACAGCAGTGATTGGTGGAAATAGATGATGACGTATGGTGACGCAACGCTATGTCACCACACACCAGCGAATAGAGGAGCAGAGAAAAAACGCAAAGAGTAAACATATATACTAAGAAATCGTAGCTGTTCAGCTTGTCACCTTATACTTACACGCATCCATCCTACCTGTCCACTCTCACTTGAAATACACTGTAATATAATAAGTAAATATAATGCATGTGCTTATTACATTGCTAATGTGTATATATATAATATATATATATATTATATATATATATATATATATATATATATATATATATATATATATATATATATATATATATATTATATATGTGTGTGTGTGTGTGTGTGTGTGTGTGTGTGTGTGTGTGTGTTGTGTGTGTGTGTGTGTGGTGTGTGTGTGTGTGTCTTGCCTTATAGATAAAACTTGCGATTTTGGCTTAAATAGCAACGCTCTTCTTGCCGAACAAGGCATGCGAAAAGTACTGTTGACAGAGGAAATCTAGTTAGAGGTGTCCCCTCTTCGCATATAATGTGAAACTAATGAGGAGAATATGAACAGGAGTAGACCAGAAAAGTTTACAAATAGATCTGTATAAGCTGAAAGACTAATCTGACGTATATCTATTGGAATTTAATACTAGCAAATGTAAAGTTAAAAACATCGGAAGACAAAGACGACCTGAAACAGTAGGGATGGGGATGCAAAAGGCTGTAAACCTTCCTGGAAGACGACCTCGGTATGAGCTTAGTTTCGAGCTTTTCACCTGAGGCTCTTATCAACTGAATAACCGCTGGAGCAAATGCAAGACTGGCAAATTTAAGGGTAGCTTTGAGGAACATCGACAAGGAGGCATTCACAAAGGTAAGGACACTACACATCAGGCTCAACTTGGAGTATGCAGAGCCTGAATGGAACCCATATCGGGATCAGCATGTAAAGAAGCTGGAATAATGCAAAGATTTGCAACGAAACTAGTCACAGAGTTGATCTTTGAAGAGAGGCTAGGGGAGCTTAACCTGACGACACTAGAGAAGGCCTACAGGTGACATGATTACTACGTACAAAATAGGGAGAATCTGTTTGAGAGGAGGGTCTCAGGCACACGAGGCCACAGATGAAAGTTCTGAGTACAGATGGGTCACGAGGATGTCAGGAAATGCTTCTTTAGCCTGAGAGTAGTCAAGAAGCAGAACTACTTAGCGAAGATGAAGAGACAGAATTCATACATAGCTGAAGGAATAGGTATGATAGTGCTCATGCAGCGAAACGAGAGAAAGAACACGAGGGGCCAGCAGAGAAGAGGGGGAAGTGGTCAGGGGCTGAAACTCGACCCCCTGCAACCACTATTAAGATTTGCGAGTACACAGACACAGTGCCACTCAGGCTGGAGGCAAGACGCTGGTACTCCCACTAGCATCAACTTAGAAAGACTGCACAATATAAAGTTACTCACCGACTTATCTCCGAGGTGAAGCACCACACAAGGCAGACGGGCCGTTTCTCCCTCCTGCACCGTCACCGTGGACTCCGCTGAAGCGAACGCTGGCCGCTGTCCTTGCTGGTCATCCGTCAAGCTTACACCTGCAGCACAGACGTCACGTGTTGATCTCTCACTCCCACTCTAGTGTTAAAGGTCATAAGTGGACAGAGCTATAGAGCCCTGCTGTCAACATGTTCTAAAGTGTCATGTATTTCTGTATAAACAATATATGTTGAAATAAATTTATATTGCATTGAGAAAGAGAAAGAGAGACAGAGACAGAGAGACAGAGAGCACTCGCTCACAAACAAATCCAATTTCATTCTGTATCCAATATTTGTGTTATTTAATGCAGAAGACAGAAAACAGCAGTGGTTCAATACTACATCCAGGCTGTCTAATGATACATTTTAAACTTCTGTCTAGCTGCAACAACTTCAGGCTAGATAAGCGATGTGAACGTGGTAAACCAGAAGGCTGTCTCCTCTTACACTCCCTCTGGCTATACTGTCCTAAAAAGATAATTCATTAAAGATAATTATTATTCTGTACCTGACGGGGGGTGCATGAATACTCTCCTAAAAAGATAATTCATTAAAGATAATTATCATTCTGTACCTGACGGGGGGTGCATGAATACTCTCCTAAAAAGATAATTCATTAAAGATAATTATCATTCTGTACCTGACGGGGGGTGCATGAATACTTAATTGAAGAGAATGCTGTTTACAATATACATAAAAGATAACATTAAAATTGGCACTCGGCAGAATGCTTTTGAGGACATTAGCGCTACTGGATGATCTTGGTAGGTCGATGCTTTAGTCAGAGAAGTGACAGATACAGTTCATTCAGGACAAATGTGAAATTCTAATACCGGGAAAAGAAAATTATTTTGGTACTTTAAAACTAAATAGTGTAGATCTCAATTAAACTGAATAAGAAATAAGATTTAAGTGTCGTAGTCCAAAACGGGACAAGAGTGCATAAATGTTGGCAATAAAACTCAAAAAATTCTTGGAGTCACAACAAGAAGTATAAATAACAATACTTAGACTTAATATATCCATGATAAGACGTCATATAGCTTATGCTTCTCATTTCTGGTCTCCATATTACAGCTGACACATCTGTTTCACGAGGAACAGCAGTCTATATTGCAATTACGTCGTAATGTTACCAGGAGGATGTGAGTGCTGCCCTCGAGGTTATAGCCACACTTCTGCATCCCTTTCCCAGTGTTTTTAGGTACTTAATATTTTTGAATCATATTTGCAATGCTAACTCTTCATCTGTTAATTTTAATAACTGAAAAGTACCCCAAATATAATCAAATATGTTCTCAATTTGTTATTTTTTCGATAGTGTATTAGGCATTATAACTGGTTTACTTGTTAGACTTTCGAACGTATCACAACAAACAGATGGTAGTAGACAATTTTAGCATAATCTGTTACAAATTATCCAATCCCAACTTAATCTAATATTAACCTACTCCAACTTATACGAGGTTATTTGCCTTGCTTCTTGACCCGACCAATAGTCACCTTAGCGACAGTCAGTCCATTGTTTTGCTCAACAAAAGATCTGTTAATCCAATGCTTGGCTAACCAGGAGGTTTATCATTCCATTAAATTATGGAACTCATGGCAACTGAATCAATGGATTTACAAAGATCCTGCTGAACAAATCATGTAAGGGAGGATGTATGAGGGATAATCAGGAAACTTGCTTGACGCTAGATAAGCCCAGCATCAGTATTTAGATAACAGGTGATAAGAGTATTTTCCTTTCCTCAGTACTGAAAACATTCATTTATTTACATTGCTTTACATCAGATGTTTCTCAAACTGCAACATTAACATATCCAAGTTATCCCAAGGCATCCAGATATACTAAAACACGTAGTAAGTATTTTTGTTAAAAATTTTAATTATTTATATTATCGTAATTCACTGAGAGAAATATCTATAAGAATCAGTAATTTGATAATGAAAACATTCATTTTAAATCCTTTTTGTAGAGATAGTTTTTTAAATTTCACTCGTTAATCTGATTTACAATTAAATCTACTGTTTTTGCACTAATAAATACATTACTAAAGTCAGGCAAACAAGGATATACGAGGTGAGAGGTGCAAGTTTCTCAGTGTATATACACTGAGAGAATCACTAATTCCTATCGTCGGGATCAAAACATTTTTGACTTGTGAGCAGGTTAGATGCAACCTTAATTAATTGTCAACATGTAGTAGACAGGATTTAAACCAACATAACTAACTTAATAAATGAGGCAACAACTGAGTTTCCAACTTTATAAAAAGAATATCTCATGAACGATTTTCCACACCTCCCACACTACAAATACTGAAAGTTATTTAATAACTAGTTAATTAATGGGTTACAGCTTCTCTTTACACTAATTAATCATCGGAGAAAGTTAGTGCTGCCATACTGAAATATTTGACTGAAAGTCTACTTTTAAACACGAGAACCTTTCGTAGCCATAACAAAAGTGACAAAGACGGAGAACACCAATAAATATTACAGTTCAACCACGATATAACAAGGAGAATTGTTAGGCGAGTTGTGAGGGCAACTGGCCGGGTCCTGATGGTCACTAGTGCCAGCACAATGCTTCTTGTCTCCTTTTTACATTTTTATTTAACTTTTTTTCAACCTTTAAGATCATTTTTGATCTTAAAGGTTGACCAGTTAATGTGTGACTAGTTAATGACTCTTGTCGGTCATAGGTTTCAATGTCTTAAGTGCGGGTTATCTGAATACAAATTCCCTATTTTTTTCAACATTGTAACGTTATCAGATACTTTTGAATATCGATGCTGTCACATATTTATGGAGTGCTGTGCTGTATATATTAGTGGCGTGCATATTACAGGTATTTTACAGAACATTAGTGTTGTACATTACAGGATTTTTGTACATAACATCTGTGTTGTACACATCAGGGTTGTATATGAGAGGTAGTAGTACTTAACATCGGTAATTGTGAAGGCTTACTCAGCCCTGTAACAACTTCAGACAGTATTACCAAGGCTGGCTCCTCCTCAGGAAAATTAATGAATAGAAAAAGAAATAATTCACAAAGATAAACACTTCATTATTTAGTGATGTAAATATAAAACATTAAAAAATGAAGGTGTATCCTACTTGAAAGAAAAATGAAATGAAAAATTGACATTTGAATTCAACGCTAATATGCACAAATAAACTGGGGTGTCTGGTTGACGTTGACACCGTCTTTTAGAAATTGTAGCCGTTGATGATGATTGGGAGGGGTCACAGGTGTTGGGTGACAACCCAACGATTAGTTCTTCACAGAGTCTATAGCCTTGAATAGTCAGTCCAGGTGACAGGAACGCAGGTTCTTTACCACTGCGAAGATGAGGGGTAGTCGTCTGCGGTTGACTGTAAGTAATCAGGTAGGTAGATTATGAATGACGTCTCATGGGCTGTTTCAGTCCGTCTCCTTCAACACTTCTCGTTGGTTGGCAGGTAACCCGATCTGTCATTCCAAGCTGGAAAGAGAGACAGGTTACCCACTGCTTAAGAAATCACTCTCCATGATAAGTGCAAGATACTTAAAAAGGTGGTGAGTACCGAAAAGTCTTATGTGGAGCTTAAAACTGAAAGGACTAAGTTCATTATTGGTCAAAAGTGAAGCTTTCCACCAATATCCACTAGAATAGGAGCAGAGGCTTTTACTTACAGTTGTGCTAGGAGCTGTGAGTCGAGTGATTACTGTTTGGCCGGAGCCCCACACGTCACCTTTCGGGTGGGAAAAAGGGGGGGGGGGGATAGCGGGAGCTAGACTGACCCTACCTTAACAGATCGGATCGGATCGAGGACGACGAAAGCTGTCGTAAGATGGGAAGGAAGAAGGATAAGGAAGGATGGAAATAACTGGAAAAGGATGGGGAGGAGGGGAAGAGGAGGAATCAAGGCAAGTGGCCCAACCACTTTGGGACATGTGGTACAAAAGTACTGGAGACGTAGATAGAGAGGCTTGACTGATGTCATTGCTTGGCTCACTAGGAGAGGATGGCGAAGGCAGCGGTAGGAGCTGGGAGTGTCAGAAGGCAGCAAGCAGGATGAGTTGGTTATGGTCTTAAACCGTTTATCAGTGCGGTAAATTGTTTTCGAGAGAGTTGTATCACACTTATGGGAGAGCTGTAGTAGTATTCGTTGGTTTGGAGTTGGTGGAGTATCTGGTTGTAGGTAGGGAATGGTCTTCGCTTTGGTACGATACAGTGTTGTCTTGGAGATGTTGGATGAGTTCTAGGCGAGACATGCTTGCAGGGTATAGCCTCGTGGTGTAGAATATGAGTCCTTTGTGTTTAACCCATGGTGTTCCAGGTAATCGACGTGAGCTAAGTAGAGAAGGCGGTGGTGGAGTAGAGGAAGGTGGTGTTGCTTCGTTTTCAACTTCAGTAGACGAATTAGAAGATGTTTCTGGTGGTAAGGCTTCTGATTGGTTGGATTCAGTGAGAGGTGGTGGCGGTGGAGGCTTCTCATTGGTCGTTGTTGGATTGACGTCACTAGTTGGTGGTGTTGATGGAACTTCTGCAGAAGAGTTGGCGATTAAGTTTTTGGTGAATTTGAGAATTTCGTCAGAAGGTGGAGATGCTGGAAATGTAAATGAAGGCATATTATTTAATGCAAATAACTCGTTGATGTAGAGTTAAAGGATCCAGGTACAGCCATGTTCTGCATGTGAGCGTATAGCAGTAGTGGATCTTGGTTACGTCACATGTTGGAGGAGTGATGATGGTGGAGGCGGGCTGAGTAGATGCTTGAAGTAATTTTGTAGTGTTTGCTTGTATCTTTGCAATTTCTGCATACGTTGGAGTGTTGCTTGTAAGTTTTTTCTTTGCTGCATCTTGTGTTTTCTTCATAATATCCTTTCTTGTAGGACATTTTGCTGCCAGTGTATGGTGGTCACTACTCTTGCAGTTTAAGCACGCTGGTTGTGTTGGAGCAGCAGCGGTGCAGGAACTGAAGGCGTGTCCCTCACTACCACATGTAGTGCAGAACTTCTTGTCTTTTACTGGACATGCTTTGGTGGTGTGATGGTATGAATA